TTATGTTACATCATGATGTAATTTTGTTCTTGATATTAGGTATTAAAATTTCAAACATTCCAGTCTAGAAATTAAAAATGAAATATGTTCAAATCAAATCAAACAAATCCTAAAATAATTATAATATTTTATCTAAATATCACTCAAAATTTTGAATTTATGATTAATTATATAGTTTTGTATGTGGTCTTCAAATTTTGAGTTTGGAAATGTAGATAGATAATTAGTGCTACTAAATATGTTTTCCAAACTACAAAATTGAAAACAGAGAATGGAAAACAATGAATGGAAAATCGAAAATATGAGGTAAATACACAACGTTTTTTAAAAACAAGAAGAATATCTCTATTTCTATATATATTAAAGCAAAATGATTGGCAAAATAGTTTTCCCTCCAAAGTGTGAAAGCAATAATAATAATAATAATAATAATAATAATAATAATAATAATAATAATAAATAACAATAACAACAACAACAACAACAACAACAATAATAATAATAATAATAATACTTACCTTAATAATACTAATTATTCTTATAGAAAGAAAATTATTATTACTTACCTTAATAATACTAATTATTCTTATTAAATCAACTCCATAATTCTGACAATCCTAAACTTTGTCTAATAATAATAATAATAATAATAATAATAATAATAATAATAATAATAATAATAATAATAATAATAATTACTAACCAATAATAATAATAATAATAATAATAATAATAATAATAATAATAATAATAATAATAATAATAAACAAAAAATAAGTACTTACCTTACTAATACTTATTGTTCTTAGACCATCTCCAACCATTGCACCAAATTCTGCACCAAATTTTACACCAAAAAGGAATATTCTCAGCATATTCTTACACCAAATTTTTTCCATCTCCAACCCATTACACCAAATTTTATTCCTACACCCCTCATAAAGTTTATATTTATACTTTTATTCTTTTAACAAAACTAATAGTTGTAATTTAATAAATTAGACTTTAATTAAATTATATTTAATATTAGTTTTGTTTTAATCTTCTTGATAAGATCTTTCAAATGATATAATTTTATTTTAATAATATACAATTTATGTTTAATATTTAACGAAATATGTAAATATATAAAAATAAAAAAGGATACAATATAATTATAATGCAAATATTATTTTATTCCACAATAATAAGTTATATATAGAACATCCGCTACATTTAATTGAAAGAATTACCATAATGTTCCCACATATGCTTACTCAATATTTTAATCATTTGGGAGGAAATAATGCTGGCCTAGGAGATTATTGAATTAAGAATGTTTAAAGTAGTTTTAATTAAGTTTTATGTGTTTGTTTTAAATTAAGTATGTTTAAAGTAGTTTTAATTAAGTTTTATGGGTTAGCTTTAAATTAAGTATGTAATTTCCTTTAATTTTGTTATAATTAAGCTTTATGTTTTTTCATTTTTAATTAATCTATGTTCAATATTAGACTTAATTTAATCGTCTTGATGAGATCTTTCAAATGATATAATTCATTTTAAATAATATAAAATTTATAGTTAAAAATTTAACAAAATATACAAATATATTAAAACAAAAAACAAAACACAAAAGGAATTAAACAAAAAAGTGGGGTCAAAATGAAAAAAAACAAAACTTATAGTGTTTTGGCGCACTGTGAACAGTGCTGCGCCAAATATGGCGCAGCACTGTTCACAGTGCGCCAAATATTTGGCGGAATAGCGCAGGGTTGGAGCTGATTTTTGGCATTTTTTTTTTGTGTTTTGGTGCTTTAGCGCACCCCTTGGAGATGGTCTTATTAAACACTTTCCATAATTCAGGCTGGCATTACCCCAGCAAACTTGCCCATTGCAAGATGACATGGAAAGTGCCAGCTATGTTTTTTTTTTTTTTTTAATAGTGAATTGGATTGCAACCGTACTTTTTTTTTTTTGTTTTTTATATTTTTTTTGTTTGTTTTATTTAGTTTTTAGTTTGTAAAACTTTTTTTATTTTGTTTGTTTAGTTTGTTTTGTTGCCGTATTAAGTTTTTTTTTTATTTAATATGTAATAAATTTTTTTAATAAAATAATATATTAAAAGAGTACATAACATTTCATTGATTTAGAAATACAATGCATACAAATTAATTTCATCATACGTGTCTAAAAATTATATTGATATACATACATTTTTTTTGAAAGATTGATGTACATACATTCATTAATATACGTAAATTAATTCATTAAGACATACATTTAGTTTTTTCATTAATACATATATACGTAATTAGTTATTTTCAAATTTGTTATATTTAATATTTAAATATAATTTATATATTGATATAAATTAATAATGTTGAAGACAAAATAATATTTATTAAGAAAAAAATATTAATTCTTTAAAGTGATGTGAAATTGGGGCCCACTTTTGAAGGTTGATTGGATTTGCAGGGATGTAGTGTGAATAGTAGATGATTTGCAAATGGGATGATGTGGA